CGCCTGACAAAAATTTGTCCTGCTCCGAGGCAGGACGACGGCGTCTTTGAAGTTTGGTAAGCCTTGACAATATTTGGTAGATCTAAAAATCACCGGACGCACTTGTCTCGGGGAATTGATGACAGATTTTTTCGCAAAATAAACAAAAATTTGCCCAGTCCGTCCGGGCCCAAAATTTGTCCCGGATAAAAACTGGACAAAATCATTTAAATAAACAAAATTGTGTTTATCCTGTCAGTCATTTGTCAAAAAGCTTTTAACGGTATAAATTTAGCGTCTGGGTTGTTTCTCGCGTGTGTTGCGAAACTAGATTTGAACGAATTTGATGACTTTTTCCGCAGTCAATGAGACAAAAAATTTTCACGACAAAATTTGTCCTCGGATTTTGTCATGGACAATTTCAATTTTGCCTGCTAGTGCGGATCGGCCCTTTAAAGTCAAACAGTTGTTTTTGTTTATTTTATATATCTACTTCTGAGAAAGAAAGATATATCAAACGCTATTTGGTAACTCTGAAACACCCTGTTGTCCTTTTTTTAAAAAAAAAATAATCCGAGCTGTTACAAATCGAAATAACCACATTGCAGTGTTTCGTAATACGTACGTAGAAATTATGCAATCACTGGCAAATGTGATGAACTCTTTTTCATNTTTTATGTGTTGAAAATTTGTACCAAAAAAAATACAACTAAATACAATTTTACTAAGCCGTATAAAATTCCTTCCTTTCTAAATTCAAAGCGGCAAAACTAGTCAAAAAAGAACATAAACAGCACTAGCCATATCAGGTTTAATGCCAATAATATTGCTACCAGAAGTTTTGTGTGTCATATCAGGTTTTATTCAAGTCACGATAGCAAAGATAATCTGACATTGTGTCGGCATAGTCCACTTTGGATTCCTATAATTAGCCTGCGAGTAGGCACAAGCACGCAGCATAGCCGCGGGCGCGAAATCGAGCGGCGAAGCCGCGAGACGAGACCTGGGGACGAGACTTTCTTGGTACCTCTTCACCAAACTCCCTCCCGCCGGATCCCTTTGCTCTTCGCCGCTCGCCTGCTCGCAGGCTATCCTATAATATAAGAATATTCAAAAGAATATTTTAGCCGAAATTAAGGCTCGAATAGCAGCCGCTGTTCGGGAAAGGAGCCCGCGCTTCTTCCCCTAAGGCTAACTAATTACATGTAGCGAATTTATTATAATCTTTTTGAACAGGCATCTCAAGCGAACAATGGCAGTGTACGACACCACTCACGAAAAATACTTTGGTAAAATATTAAGCCAGCTAACAAACGAGACGACAGAAGAAGAGATAAAAAATGTTTACAACAAATGGGCGACTAATTATGACAAGGTATGCACACACTAGCAATAGGTCTGGGGATTAAAGGCGCTATTTTTATTTTTTTAAAGATATGATCTCAGGGGCGCACATTTTAAAGGTATCAATATATCCAAAAAGCGACTATTTTTCTTTTCCAAAAAAAAAA